ACATATATACTTGTATGTATTAACATTATTTACCTGTATGTCAGGTACATAATTTAATGTGGGTGCTTGTCTGATCGATTGGTATAATATGTGAGTCTTTACTTTTTATTGATTAAATTGTATTTTATCTATATATTAGGAATATTATCAAGGAAAAAAAAATTCAAAATTCAAAATTTGGAATTCAATTTCAAGGAAATAATGCATTAAATTTAGATTTTCAATGTGTTTTCCTTATTTACCTTAAAGGGTAAAATCGACACAACAAAAAAGTAATAAATGTCAAAGGACCTACATCTAAAACCAAAAACACGAGGACTAGACCCAATGACAGCAAATCGTTTTGAACCTAGATCTAAGAACCCCTTAGTTTTGTCTCCATTTATGCAGAAAAACTTTTTTTTTTCTGCGGGAATATTTGAAAACAATTTAAAAAGCGTTTTCAGTTGTAGTTTGCATTATATGTAGGGCCAGTTTGGCATTGCTGTGTTGTGAAAATAATCGATGTCAGATTTGCTATGAGAGAAATCAGTTGTGAGAGAAAACAGTTTGGCGTTTGGTAAACTTTTTGTTAAAAGTGCTGTTGGTACAATAATCAGTTTCTAAGTGCCAGTTTGGCATTGTTGTGTTGTGAAAATAATCGCTATTAGATTTGATGTGAGAGAAATCAGCTGTGAGATAAAGCAGTTTGGTGTTTGGTAAACTTTTTGTTAAAAGTGATTTTGGTACAATAATCAGTTTCTAAGTATTCGGTAATTTTTTGTGTGGAAATGTTGTGAGCTATGTATAATGAATAAAAAAGGCATTATGTTGAAATGAATTTTCGGTTTAAGTGTTTGATAAAAGGTATATATATATATATATTGTTAAATATGTTTCCATCACACCCTAAAAATTATTTTAATTATAAAATAAATAAAGTATTATGTTGAAAATTAAATATTTGTATCCAAATGCTCTAAACTAATGTTTCAAGTTAAATTCAATATTTTCTATTAAAAATAAATATTGTGTCAAAAAAACAAAAAAACAAGGACATAATTTTTTTAAAAAAAAAACAAATAAAAACCAACAACAACAACTATTGAAGTTAAAACCATAGAAATTAAAGAGAGAGTGAAGAATGAAATTTATAGTTAAAACCCTAGAAACCAAAGAGAAAGAGGGAAGAATGAAATTGAGAAGAAATAAACATAATATGCCTCTTACCTGAGTCTTGTGGCTTTTCAGGAGTGTACTTCAATTGATTCAACAAGAAAAAATAATAGGAAGAATAGATGAGATTTAGGAGAATGAGAACTCTGTGAAAGAGATGGCATGAAGAAGCAAAGTGATGCAAAGGAGAAAAAGCACGAAGAGAAGAGATTGCGTGAAATAGATTGGGGTATTTTCAGAAGTTTGTAAAGTTCATTAAACCGAGCGCCTCTTCGAAACTAATTCCTGCATAATCAGAAAAATGTAAACCGCTTATGGTTTATAACATTGCTTTCAGGAGAAGCACCCGTCAAAGTGTTTTTCTAAGAAGCACTTGCATTTTTAACAAAATATTCAACATTCTTCTAATAAAGGTGCTTCGAACAAAAGAGATTATGAGCATAAGTACTTCTTATAGAAGTAGTCTCAAACGGTATGTCATATTTAGTTTAACATAAAGTTTAGTAATTCAAACTTGAAACACCAATATATTTTGGAGTCCGGAATATTCAAAATTTTGAGATACATTTTCCTTCCAATCCAATTCTTTTCGAAATTTTCGGACATCAGATTTAATTTGGACGTGCCAAAGTTGAAAATCTTTGGATCCAAATTGGCGGCAATAGGAATTTCCAATCCAACTTGCACCCTACACATATCAATCCAAATTGGCGATAATAGGAATTTTCAATCCAACTTGCACCCTACTCATATCAAGGACAAAGCTCAATAAACAACCGAAAAGAGAACCACACGCATTAGGTAGGACATATATCACACTCAAGCACACAATAAAACGTTCTTTTAATTTTCTTATCCATGAATCCAAGAAATCTCTCACTTCTATCAATTTGATTTCCTTATACTCAAACATTCCAATTTCAGTAAGAGACAGAGACATTAACTCAAGTGCATGAAAAACTCCGAAGTCTTTCTTCCCCAAACCGTCTTGCAATCAAGAAAAGAAAAGTTATATGAAAGAAGATACTGGAAAGAATTTTCAAAGTCTGAAACTTAGTGATGAAGACTTGTGAATTTATTGTGAAGACTGTTTTTTTTTGGCTCTTACTTTGTCAACTTATGTTCTAATCTTTTCAAGAATCTTCCATACAATTGTGCGCTAAAATAGCCTCTTTGTTTTTGAGTGACTGTTGCGTCGATTCAGCTGCACCAAAATGGATTCAGCTGCATCCTCAACTTGTGATACTCGCAAGTGCACGAGTTGTTCGGTAGTATAGCATATGTAAGTGCGAGGTCGATTCCACAGGGATTGGTGATTGAATAATCAAATTCAGTTTTCCTACACAAAACATAAAAACAAGAAAGAAAATAAGTAAAACAAGAAAGAAAGAAAAGAAAATAACTCAAGCAGATAAGTTCCCAAGTTCAACTAGATTAACGGATTGATTCTAGCTAAAGTATGATTAAGCCATGGTGTCTGGTCCTAACCTTGTATTCCTAATTCCCTAATTTGATCATCTGTTGTCTAACCTAAACTAAGCATTG